GGGGCGTAAGTGAGGGAAAAAGGGGCCCTTATGCCGCAGGGCAATCGGGGAAAGGGCTGCCCTTGAACCAATTAGGAAGGAAGAGCCTATTCCCTCCATCCAGGCATGACCCAAGTGCCAGCTGGATTTCGGCCACCATGTCCCCTCTTGCTGGTGCCTTTGTTCAGGCCCCAGACCCCACAACTCAGCAGCAGCTCTGGCGAGCAGGAAGTTCCTGGCTGACATGGAAACTAAGCTGGCTTCCTTTTGGTAGGGACGCTGGTTTTGAACTCCTGACCTTGAGCAATCCGCCCGCCTCGGCCTCCCAAGAGCTAGGATTACAGGCGTGAGCCACCGCGCCCGGCCAGGGGCATCTTTTCTAATCATACAGAGGCGCTGCACGCGCACCCGCCACCAGGGATACTGGGCTTCCTTAGGGCAAGACCCACTTTGAGGAAGGAAATTTCGTTCAGAAAATAAGATACCCTAACAACCTCCTATTAAAATGACCATCAGTGCAATTAGTGTTCATTGACAGCCTACACGGAGACCAGGTACCTGTCCTAGAGCCAGTTGAAAGGAAGGTGGGGACGACCCACCTTCATTCCCTCCGGGTTGGCAATCCCCCTCTACCTTTTGTTGACCGCGTCCCGCTCGCCAAGCCCTGGCCTGGCGATGGACACAGACGTGACCTGGTGTCCTTCAGGCACCTGCCTTTTTGAGGGGTCGGACTGTGGGCAGCAGTCGGGGTACCGGGCCCTTCGCTGGGAACGACAGGACTGCACTGACCTCCTGCCCGCCCGCAGGCGTGAAGACGCCCTTGTGGAAGAAGGACCTGGAGGAGCCCGGGGCCAAGGAGGCGGAGCAGGAGGAAGCGCAGGAGGAGTCGGAGGACGGGGACGAGGACGAAGAGAGGCCGCCGCAGGAGGGCGCGGAGGGGGACCCCGAGCCGCGCCCGGAGGCGGAGGAGGGCGAGGGCCGCGAGCGGCGCTGCGCCAGCTACTGCCCGCTGCGCCAGGAGTCCAGCACGCAGCAGGTGGCGCTGCTGCGGCGCGCGGACAGCGGCTTCTGGGGCTGGCTCAGCCCGTTGGCGCTGCTGGGCGGCCTGGGGGTGCCCGCGGACAGGTGAACGCGCGCCCCTCGGCCGGGACGCGACGGGCCGGGCGCCCGCGGCCCGGGGAGGAGAGACGGCGCCGGAGCCTGAGCGCTCGGGTCCCCGCCCGCAGGAAGCGGAGCCTCCCGGAGGAGCAGTGCGTGCTGGAGACGCGGCGGCGACCGCCCCGCCGAGGGTGCTGCGCGCGCTGCGAGATCCTTTTTTGCAAGAAATGCGGGAACCTGCACAGCCCCCCGGCCTACGTGGCGCACTGCGTTCTGGATCACCCGGATCTGGGTAAGGCGGGGGCCGCTGGGGGCTCCTGGGCGCCCCCACTCTCAGCCTCTGTGCCTTCCTTCCTCACCTGACCCCAGACTCCCTGACAGGAGCCCTCTCCGGCACAGTCCGCAGAACTGCTCCTTCTCTGAGCCGCCATTCGGAGACCCCCCTTCAGACACCAGGGCCCACGGTCGATGATGCGGGGTTCCCACCTGCCACCTAGTGTCCCCCCAGTGCAGAGCCCGGCATAACCTAGAGCCCCGCGGCTCTAACCGCGCCCGCTGCGGGCCCCCGCCCCAAGCAGGACCAGCGCCTGCCGCCCACCTGACTCGGCCTCCCCACCCCCTCACCTTCATCTCTTGGGTACTTCAGGTCCTTCTGGCCCCGTGGGCAGGGGCATCGCCTAGAGAAAATGACCTCGGGGTTCCCTCATCCCTCTAAGAAACTTGCTCCCTTTCCCTGAAATCATTCAATAAAGCCTCTAGTCACAGTGGCAGTGCCTTCAGGTGGCAGCAAGGTGGCTTCAGGTTGGCGTGATGAAGATGGGAGCCTCCTGGGGTTCAAGCCAGAGGGAAAAGGGTGGGCAGGGGGCCTTCTCGTCTCCCCGGAACGGTAGGAGCACTCACACCCAAGCAATCGCAAAGGCCATTCTGCCCACTACACAGAGAAAAAAATGAAGGCGTGGGCCCAGGAATGCCCCTGGGGAACGGAGGGCCGAGCCCTCGCCTTTCTCCCCTCCCCGAAGCCCTGGCTTGCTGAGGTCACCGCGCGTGCAGATGGGGCATTGGCAGGTGTGGAGGGAAGGGGTGGGGTGGGGGTGGGACTGCAGAACCAGATGCTGAAATAAATGCTGGGACTGGCTGAGGCAGAAGAGGAGGAGGCTGGGGAGCCTCTTCCTTCTCCAGGAATCCCAGCTATTCTTGGCCAGACAGCAGGAGCCCTGGGAATGCCCTGTGTGTGGCCTGGTGAGTGGGGCCATTGTGAGCACAAGGCCTCCGGAACCTGCAGGGCCCGCAGTTGTGGAGGCTGCATCCCCAGGGAAGCCCCCTGCCCTCCCCCTGCTGCCCGTGGCTCTCCATCTGGCCTGGGGGGCGGGAGGGGAGGCGAGGACATTTTGCTTTTTGAGCAGAGGCAGGCCCCCTCTCTACAGCACAACCCCACATGCCCAGCTGGCTGGCCCTGGCTGGGGTGGAAGAGCACGGTCCTGGCCTCCCCCGCATCCGTGCCCACCTACTCTGGCTGGAAAGGGAGGAAGAACCAGGGAAGAACCAAGGAAGGCTGCTTCCCACCACTAGGCCACCAGCTGGAGGTGCCTCTTTATTCCAGCCACAGACAAAAAGCCAGGGCCCAGCAGGCCTGCTTCAGTCTCCCTCCTGCTCTGAGTCCTGACCCCACCAAGGGCCTCTGAGGTTGGAGACGCCGTGTCCTCATCCCCAACCAAGCTTCCTCTTTAAATATGACACAAGCTTCCAAGAACTGAGTCAGGAGACCCTGACTAGAAGGGGACAGTCTTGCAAAATAGTCGCCAACCTCTCTGTTGAGGTTTGCATCCCTCTGGTTGGATCCCAGTGCTGTGCTGCTGCCTCTTGAATACACTGTACCTTCAGCAGAAGAAACAAAATCCCCAAGAAACAAGCATCCCCTTCCTTCCTCTGGGGAGGAAAGAGGTCTTTGGAGGAAAGGACCGAGGGGTCTGTGGTCCTTTTTGCTTCTCCTGGAATGGATCCCACCCCCACCTCTATGTGGGGGGAACACGGGCAGACGAAGTTCCCGGTGGAGGCTTTGCTGCCTGGTCTCCTGCAGGGGGGCTCAGAGGCTTCCGAGCCAGGTTCTGCCCCTGGGGCAGGGGAAACGTGTTGGCTCTGAGGGCACCAAGAGTACATCGGGTGGGGAGGTGCCTTCAGAACAGGGCGCCCCCCGAGTTCGCATGCCAGCAGCCCATCCAGGGCAGCTCAGTGGCCCAGCGGCCTGAGGTGGTCACCCGCAGTTTGGTCTGGTCGAGGTGCCAGTAGCGGTCGTCTCTGAAGAAGACGATGGAGCCATCAGGCCTTGGCAGGGCACCGCTGACCTCCTCAGGGACCCCGCCCCAGTCCTGCAGACTGCGAGGGTAGTAGGGCTCCACCTGCAGCCCCCCTCGGACCAGCACGTAGTAGCGGGCACCCTTGAAGAGGATGAGGCGGCGCAGAGGAGGGAAGAAGAGGGCGGCGTCCGGATGGCGGGGCAGGCCCCCTGCCCGGCACAGCTGCGGGAAACCCCACACGGGCTTGGGGCCCCGGAACCTCCAGCATCGGCTCCCTGTGGGGCATTGGGAGAGCCTGGGTGAGCTGGAGGCGCTGACCCACTGGCCCTCCACCCCGCCCCTGTCCCCCATGCCTCTACTCCTCCTCCAGCTGCAGCCCACGGTTATTTGAGTTCATGACTCTCAAAATGGATGATACTACTAAGTATAAACAGTAGGGAGGTCTCAGGGCAGGGACTGTTATGGTCTAGACTTCCAGCAGGGTCAACAGAGGGCAGATTGCACTGAACGAGCCTTTCCCAGGCTGGGGACAGGGCCCTCTCCCTGGGTGAGCCTTCTTCGTTACCATGACTACCACTAATTCCATGAGGACAGGGACTTTAGTGCGCTGCTGTGTCCCACCTACGTGTCTAGTGCATAGAAGGCACTCAACATTGGTTAAATCGTGCTCACTTCGGCAGCACATATACTAAAAATTGAAACGATACAGAGAAGGTTAGCATAGCCCCTGTGCAAGGATGACACGCAAATCCGTGAAGCGTTCCATAATTAAAAAAAAAAATTGGTTAAATGAATGAACAAATAAATACTATTTCCTGAAGTATTGCCATGTAGCTAGTGGTATACTGTCCACCTTTCATTCATTATTCTCTTTTGATCCTCCTTCCCCAACAAACTCGAGGAGTTATTTTTCCCATTCAAGAAATGCTCTCTCCGAAAATTAAGTAACATGCCCTATCTCACATAGCCAGGATTCCAAGGAAGATCTGGCTCTTTCTGCTGAATTGCAGAGCTTAAGAGCAGTCCTCCGATCCCTCTAGACTCTTCTCTGAAACTGTCCCAGGGACAACCTTGACACCTGCTGCTCCCCACTCCATCACTGAAAGGTGTCTTCTGGCAGACTCTTCCCTGGGGTCACAGGTTCAAATGGGAGTAGAGACTCCACCACGGCCTCGCTCACGGTGTGAGACTCCTGCCCTCTCTTCCTCTTTTGACCTTGGGCAGGACACATCCCCTCTCTAGGGCCTCAATTTTCCCAGCTTCCCCAGGGCTGGTACCTTTGAAGAAGTAGAAATCTCCATCCTCCAGTGACACTGCGGCAGCCTCAATGTTGGGGGGCAGCCCCACCCACCTCTCCTGTAGCGGGCGAGGCTCCGAGACGTTGCCATCGGCTGCCACCTCCCAGAAGTAGCTCCCTTTAAAAATGTACAGTCGCTGTTGCCCGTCTGCCCAGAGACAAGAGAGAGTTGAGGAATGACTGGCAGCCTCCTGCCTTCTTTCCAGGGAAGGTGCTATCCTGGAACCCTGGTCCCTAAACTGGCAGGCACGGGGCATGGCGTGCACAGCTAGGGTAGAGGAGATAGTAGGCAGGAAGAAGCAGTGTTTTGCTCCGTGTGGGCTTGCTACCTTGCAGCATGTTTGTGGCTTGGGATTTCTGGATTTTATAACCCATCCCCCTACTTTATAGTCTAGATCTAGAGACCCCGGGAGATGTGGCGAGGAAGGGAAGAAAGAAGCAAAGGACAGGTGGGACCATCTTACCTGCAGTGATGGCATCGAAGGAAGAGTGGCAGTATTTAGGGCCCTGGGTTTCAGGGCGCCTGCCCTGGGGGCTGTGGGGGTCCCAGGCCTCAAAGTCAGTGAACAGCTTTCCTGGGAGCTGGATGGCCACTGAGCGCCCCAGGGGCTTCCCTTTATGGGGAAGGAGAGAAGAGGGAGGACACACAGGGGGTGGGGGGTGAGTTGTGCACTCAAGACTTCCCCTTGGTTCTTTTCATGATTATCTAACATGAGGGGCAGGGAAGGTGAGTGGGAGTGAGGCGCTAAGAGCTGTCCCTGGTTGTTGGTGTTAACCACAGAACAAAACTCAGGAATCCTCTCTCCTACCCAACAGCCTGAGGAAGAGGGACTACAGAGGTGAAATTGGAGTAGGGGGACCAAGCAAGGGTTTAGAACTAAGAAGGGCAGGAGGTCCTCTTGCCTGAGTCCTGGGCAACACAGGTGGCACGAGGGCAGAGTTCAGGGACCCAGGTTGTGATAACTACAGCAATTATAATAATTATTATACATCACTGTCCTTCACTTATGAGAGGAGGGAGGAGAGTCCAACAAGCTTAGAATTTGGCACCAGCTCCCAAATTCTGGCCTACAACTTCTTAGCTGTGTGACCTTGGGCAAGTTGCCTAACCTCTCTGAGCCCGATACTCTTGATCTGTGGTCAAAGGGACGTACTTCATGGGAGTGATGTGAGGGTAAGTGCCTGGCCCATCCATAGTAGATACTCCTGAGACAGCAGCCTTCACTAGTATATTATGTCGGTTTCTCAGGCTACAACGCGTGTTCATACTCACTAGAAAAACAGCCCTGTGAGGTAGGCAGGGCCTCAATTATTACCCCTTTTCACAGAAGGTGAAACTGAGGGCCCTGAGAGGGAAAATGCTTTGCCTAAGAGCAACTGCTAATCAGGGATGCAAGGTGACTTGAACCCAGGCCTCCCGGCTCTGCCCTGGCACTCCGGGGGAGATAGCCCGGGCTGAGGCAGGTACCAGGGCAGTCACCGGCCTATTCCTCTGGCCTGGCCCGGCCTGGGGGAGAAGACCTTGTCTGAGTCCACCACCAGGCAGACGCACGGGCTTGGGGGCAGGGGCACCGGTGTCACCTGGAGGGAAAGGTTAGGGGAGAGTTCGCGGGGCTGGGGGCAGGACCGAGGGGTTCGGGCCCTGCCATGGGGGAGAGGTGGGCCCGAGGATGGGGTCCGCGTGACGGCGCCGGGTATGATGTGAGGGGCGGGGGCTGGGCAGGAATCCAGTAACTGGAAGGCGAGTCTGCGCACAGGAATGGGTTGGGGCTGATGCAGGCATGGGGTGGCAGGCTGGGCGGAGCAGGAGCCGGGGTTTTGAGATTGGAGGGGAACCCCCGGGGCTTTAGGCTTGGGCGGGGCATGCGACCCGGAGGCCGGATCCCTGCGCCGGGGATGGGCGACCCTATCTGGCGGGAGAGGGCGTGGCAGGGCCGGCGGGGCGGGGCGGGGCGCGGGCTCACCGTACAGGCGCTGCACGGCCAGCACGTCGTCCCAGCTGAGCAGCGCGTCGCGGCCCAGCCGCTTGTAGTAGGGCGCCATGAGCGCGCGCGGCGCCGGCGAGTGCGTGAGGCCGAGCGTGTGGCCGATCTCGTGCGCCAGCACCACGAACAGGTTGCGCCCGCGGCGGCGGCTCAGGGACCAGCGCTCGTCGCCGTCGAAGTGCGCTTCGCCGCGGCGGGGCAGGAAGGCGTGCGCCAGGGCGCCCCCTGCAGGCGGCGCAGAGGGTCAGGGGAGCCACGGCCCGCGACGCCCCCAGAGTACCCAGGGCCCAGCGCGAATGCCACTGGGCTGCGTGTGGCTCTTTTCTGCCGCATAATTTCTCTCCTCGTTAAGTCTGGCAGAAGCTGAAGTGTGCAGAGGTGAGCAGATGACCAGAGGCGGTGGGGCGCGAATGCACAGCGTGGGGCCAAGCTGCTGGGTTCCAACCCTAGTGTTACTGGCTGTGTGATTTGGGGCAGGTAGCTTAACCTCTCTGTTTTAGCTTCTTGATTTGAAAATGGCAATGATGACAGTCTTTTCCTTCCAGGGGCATTCTGAAGACTAAATATGTGCATGCGTATTTACATCTATTACAAATAATGCTTAGGACAGTGCCTTACAAATGCTACATAAGAATTATTTTCAAAAAGATCTAGGACTAGGTATAGTGGTTACCCCTAAAAATGGGCATGATGGAATCTTCTCTTCTGTTTCTTGATCTGGATGCTGGGAAATGTTTGGTGTATGAAAGTTGATCAAACTGTATACTTATGCTATGGTGTACTTTTATGTGTGTGTATGTTTTCTTTAATAAAAATGTACATATGCTTATGCTCTTGCCCTCCTCTGCCAGGGCTCCTCTGTGGGCCTCTATCTCCCTGCGTGTAATCAGTGTGAACAGAGAGTTGGGCCAGATCAGTGGTTCTCAAGCTCTTAGTGTGCCCCAGACAGAGCTTACTGGATATGCAGTTTCCAGGGCCCCACCCTTCACAGTTCATTTTCCCTAGGGCCAGGTGACTGCGACACAGGGGTCGGCAAACTGTGCAGTAATAATGTTGCCTGAAAGCTTGTTGAGGGTCGCTCCAGTTTTGCCTTCTTGGAGCCCAGGCCAGCAGGGACTGACAAAGGTGGGGATTATAGTGATTATAGAGACAGCCTCATGGGCATGGAGAGTCAGCCATGTTAGGAGGGACACATGTGCCTCAAGCTGTTTTCTGCACCGTTCACTGCGTTCAGCTCTCTCTGGGAAACAGATGGGTAGGTTTCAGAGGGGAGGAGACCTGACCTCAAAAAGACAAAGCATCTGTCCCAAATCAGAGAGCTGCTCTAGGAGCCTAATGTCCTGACACCCAGCACAGTGCTGTGTTAGCTACCAGCCTCTGTCCAGGTGCAGATGTAACCATCTCATATAGAAATCATGGGCGAAGTGAGTTACATGTAAGCACGTCTGTGTGCTACATGTGGATTTTTGCAAAGCTTAGATTCTCCTGGTCCTAACTCAGGGCCTGGAAGTGGACTGTGGCATGGACAGGTTTGCAGGAGGGTGCAAGGGAAGTGGGCCCACATTCCCAGCCACACAAGGGCATCAGTCTCCACCCTGGAAGGGCTAATCATTAGGAGAGAGGAAATGAGCAAATAGCCCACATTCAGGTTTTGAAGGCCAGCGTTGGGCATCTGGGAACAGAGCGATTTAAATTGCAGCCAGAAGCCTCAGGTTGGGGACAGACAGAACTGCCTGTGGTGTGGGTATAGGAAGCACTTCTGTGGCTGTCGGTGGGTAGGTGCCTCTTGCCCTGTGGCAGTGACTGTGGTAGTTGGTGGGGGGAGGCAAGAGTGGGGGAGGAGGGGCAGTGGGGGCTAGTGGGTGCTTTTTAAGGTTCTCACCGGGAGAACATCTACTCCTGGAAAACAGGAAAAGCACAGGCCCATCTAGAGGCAGATGATGGATGACGATGGGACCTGGGGGGATTCTCCCAGAACACACACTACCCTCTAGAGTTTGCAAAGCACTTTCCACGCAGAGCCTTGTACACAAGGCACCTAACAGGGCGAGGACCATGTTCCCGTTTTATGACGAGGAGACCAAGGGTTCTTTGCAGGGGATGTGGCATGGCCAAGGCCACAGGGAGCGTGAACGCCTCACTGCCACCCCAAACTGACTCTCCTAGTTGGGGTCCCCTCTGCTGTGTGGAGAGAGGCTCTGGGCCAGCACCTGGGCCATCAAAGGCGTTGCTCAGCCCGTCGTTGTGGTCCCCTTGGAAGAAGGTGAGGCGGATGTCAGCAGGGCCTGTGGCTGGGGCCTCCCAGAACTCCAGCGCCGAGACGTTGCTCCACAGCTGGAAGGCGGCTCGCACGGCCCCCCGAACTGCCGGCTCGGGCAGGCGCTCGGGCCAGTTCACCAGGCGGTAGGAGAGGTGCTGCTTGTACCATTTGCTGCCTGCCACCCAGAAAGGTTGCGTCAGTCACACCTGCGGCACAGCCCGAGTGTGGTCCCCACGGACCCAGTGCGATGGGGAGGTAGGTCCTCCCCAAGGGAGCCCCTGGTCTGACGAGAAGTCACAGCCCTTGCACTGGGCAGCCCCCTCTTGCCAGGGGAGATACTGCCCCGCTGAGGACAGCCCTCACACGGAGAGGCCTACCCTTACCCCAGTCCGTCCCCAGCGCAGTGCCTGAGGCTGGGGAGGTCGCAGCCTGCTGGAGGGGATGCAGCCTCCGCCCAGGAAAAGCCCCCAACCTGAAGGGGTCTCTCTGGACCTCGTCCAGGGTCTTCTCCTCCCCGCAGCCTGGGCTGAGCCTGCAAACAGCTCTGTGCCTCCTGCTGCCGGCAAACCCCAGCCCCTGCCTGCAGCGTCATGGCAGAGGAGAGGTGGGGCCACAGAGGCCACAGCTGTGAACCCCCCCCCCCCCGCCCGTCCCATGTCTCACACCCTCCTGCCACCTCCCGGAGGCTTCATGCTGCCCTTTCCAGCGTCTTGGGCCTGCCGCTGGCCAACAGCCACAAGACCCGTTTATGTGAGGTCCTTTCCTGCCCCTTTGCTTTCCTCCTCGCTTCCTCAGGGACTCCGGAGAGCTCTGAGGTGAAGAAAAAAATAGGAACAAAGGGTGTGTTTTGTCACTGACTGAGAGAAATTTTTCCATCTCTGCTTAGTTAAGGATTTCTCTCCCTTTGCCCCAAACTGCAATTCCTCCCTGAGGGCCGAGACTCTGGCCTCCTGCCACAGCCCCGGGTCAGCTGAGTCTGGGTCCATCTGCAGTTCAACATGCACCCAGGAGCGGGGTGGCCAGGAGGTCCGGGTTTCAGGGTTCTCACGGGCTACTTCTGAGCCCAGCAAACTCAGGGGCAGAGACTATGACCTCCAGTGGAAGCCTCCTCTGGAGGCAGGACTTCTAGGTGCAGGGTAGCCACGACCCAGGGGAAGGGGCCTGGCCCGGCTCACAGCTGAGTGAGTAGCCGAGGTAGGCCCTGACGTCTAATCCTGCACTCTTTCCACTACTCCCAGAGGTGGGCAGGCACATGTGCTCATCTCCAGGCTTATAAATCCACCTGAACACTGCTCCTGTGGGTCAAAGCACGAGCTGAAACTCTCCAGATGCAAGGGAGGGTCTTAGCAGAGGAGCCGGACTCCCTGGCGCTCCCCACCCGTGGACGTGGGGGTGGGGTATGTCCCTTCTCCCATCCCTGAGCCAAGCTCCATTCAAGGCAATGCTGCCTCTCTGGGCCTGTTTGGCCTGGCAGCCGCCCAACCTCTGCCTCCCGGCCAGTGACCAACCCTCAGGGAGGGGAGAGGGAATGATTCTAAGGAGGGGAGTGAGACTCGGAGGGTGGAGGGAGGGGCTGGGGTCCAGAGGCGAGGCTGAGGGTTCGTCATGTACCATAACACTGCCGCTAGCCACAGAGTCGGTCTTCACTGGCAGCAGGCCGGCTGGCGCTGGGCCCTTTCACACCCTGCTGTGGGTGACGGACTCCCAGGCCCGCTCTTTCCCCTCACAATCCTTTAACCTTTAACAGTGTGAGATGGCCCCTTCTGCCTCTTTGCAGCTGGGGGGACCCCCTCACTCCACAGGAGAGCAGGAGGGTGGGCCATGTTCTCATTCTAGGTAGCCAGTGAAGGTGTCAGGTCTCGGAATAAAAATCCTCTGTGAAACTAGTGTGTGTGTGTGTGTGTGTGTGTGTGTGTGTGTGTGTGTGAAGAATAGAGACCACTAGGAAAAAGAATTGAGAGAAAATGACTGTTTTCCTTGGGAGGGGAGCAGGGAAGGGGGGTGGCTGGTGTGCCTGCCAGGAAGGAAGGAACTGGCTGGGGGCCAGCAGCCGGAGCCCTCTCCCTGTCTTGCTCCAGACTTGCTCCCTTCGAGAAGGCTGGCTGCTCAGGCCCCATCCTGAACTCCTGGCCGGGCAGGGCTGGTTTTCCTTGTGACCCTCAGGCACCAGTATCACCTGGCACTGCACCCCCCTCCCCTTGCTCAAAGATCCAAAGAGGAAGAGGGAAGAAAAAGGAGTGAGGAGGGGGAGGAGAGCTAGAAGCTTCACCTGGGCAGAACCCTAGAGTTCTGACTTCCAGCAGGCCGCTAATACCGTGGGAAGAATGTGGGTTGGAATCCCGGTACCTCCACTTGCAAACTTACACAACAAATTACAGAATCTCTCGAAGCCTCAGTTTCCTTACTTGCAAAATGCAGTTGCTAAAACTTACCACATCGTAAGGTGTGAGGCTCAAATGAGATAGCAACGTGAAGCTGCTGGGCATGTAGTGGGTGCTCAGGAAATATCCATTCCCTTCTCCTTCCTTTCCACCCCCTCCCCCCCATGCCCACCGCTCTGTGGAGGGAAAGGAGGGATTAAAAACCGGACCTGGGGGCACAGAGAGGAGCAGGTCTCTGAAATGAGGTTGCCAGATAAGTTTTCAAACAGCTTTTGAAAATTATTTACTATTCATCTGAAATCCAAATTTAATAACTGAGCATCTTATACATTATCTGGCAACCAACTAACACTGTCCTCTGCCCAAAAGGGATGCCACAAATTGTACAGTGACAAACAGACTCGGTTACATCGGTGCGAAGGTGAGATGCAGCCCGAAGGAAGCATCCCCTGGTTGCCCCACCCTCCGCTGTGTTCTCACAACGAGCCCCTTCTACTTGGTGATTGGGGACCATCTCTGATTTGCAGCCTGAAAGGGCCTGTGTCTTGGATGAGGGAATGGAGTCTCAGCAAGCAAGGTGACATGACCCAGGTGACACAGGTGAGACTTGAGCCCAGGGCTGCTAGCTGTAGGGATGCTGCTCTCTATGTTTCACCAGCACCTCCTGAGCTCACACCTCTCCTCTCTTCTATTTTACGCTTCCCCTCTGTTTCCCAGAACCACAGGGGGACACAGAACATGTGGACACCAAGGACATCTTGACCCCAGAGCCGGGACCCCATTACTGACTCCTTGCCTTACCAGGCATGTCCACAGGCAGTGCTGAGGACCCAGAGTGACTAGACATGTACACAAAGTGGAATTGGATTGGCAAACACTGAGGGGAACTGCCCACAATTTCCTGACGGATTAGCTGGGAAATGAAAACAAACTTCTGTCCTGTTCATAACGAGTATTATCGGTAAAAGTAGTTAACACAAATTAAAAAGTGGCAACGGCCCAAATGGCTCACGGTAAAATTAATTATAGATGAAAACCTAACTGAAAAACCCTATCTTGCTAGATATCTTGAAAACCATAAAAATTGGTCAGAGAAAATTAGACTTAGTAAAAGCAATCATGTTGCTAAAAGTACATAGAGTAAAATGTGCTATTTGTGAAAAATTGACAGAAGCATCAAATCTTCATAAACCTTAGATCTACATCATTTAACCCTGAAATATTGGATTTGGCGAGAAGAAGAAGAAGTGAGGGAGGAGGAGGAGGAGAACAAAGAAACAAAACAGGCCGGGCGCGGTGGCTCAAGCCTGTAATCCTAGCACTCTGGGAGGCCGAGGCGGGCGGATTGCTCGAGGTCAGGAGTTCGAAACCAGCCTGAGCAAGAGCAAGATCCCGTCTCTACTATAAATAGAAAGAAATTAATTGGCCAACTAATATATATATATATAAAATTAGCCGGGCGTGGTGGCGCATGCCTGTAGTCCCAGCTACTTGGGAGGCTGAGGCAGCAGGATTGCTTGAGCCCAGGAGTTTGAGGTTGCTGTGAGCTAGGCTGACGCCACGGCACTCACTCTAGCCTGTGCAACAAAGCGAGACTCTGTCTCAAAAAAAAAAAAAAAAAAAGAAACAAAACAAAGCTATGGATGGAAGATCACGACAGCAGAAGCTGCAATGTGTAAAATGCACGATGATGAAATGTTTGTTTGGAACAGGCAAATCCGTGCAGAAAGAAAGCAGATTAGTGGTTGCCAGGGGCAGGGGAAGAGAGAATGGGAAGTGACTGTTAATGAGTATGGGGTTTCTTTTTGGGGTGATTAAATGTTCTAGAATTAGATTGTGGTAACGGTTGCACAATTCTGTGAATATCCTAAAAACCACTGAATTGCACACTTTAAATGGGTAATTTGTATGAGATGTGAAATGTATCTCAATAAAGCTGCTAAAAATGTGCTATGGACAAAATAAAACTGATCAATGGAACACATCTTTGTTGAATAACTGTTATGAGAAAGAACTGATTCTGATGAAAATAACTTCGGCAAAATATAAACTGCTCTGCATTAAAAATTGATCAAGGAATTAAGTGGGCTTCATGGGGAACATGGAAAAAACTTGTACGATGAATGAAAATCCATCGATGTGAGTATCATTCTGATTTACATGGCTGGATTTACAGTCATGGTTCTCAAGTCAAGAGGTCCTATTTGCCCACTCCTCCCCTGCCCTGGGGAAGAGAGGTTACTGACGAAGCCCAGTCCAGGCTGACCCATTTTTCTAGTCATGGGCTTTAGGACGTAGGGGAATCTCAGCCTAGCTGTATTTGAACAGCGCTCACCTTGCTTTGCAAAGCGTTTCTTACGTCTCATTTTGGCCCGGCGTCCAGCAAACAGGGCACTGATCCTCTCAGTCCAGGCCACATGACTGTCAGTGTCTGCAACCCCGCAGCGGGGCCGAGTCATCTGGCGCAGGGTGGCTCGGTCCAGCACACCGCTGACAGGTAGCTGGGACACCCACTGAAACTCTCTGTCAGGAGGAATTGAGATGAAGGACCACGACGGGAGGATGGGGGGAAGAAGAGGGGGGAGGGCAGGGAGGCTGGCCCCAATGGGACTTGGTTGGCCAGCCTTCCAGGAGGAGGGAGGAAATGGTTGGAGCTTTGCACCCCCGGCACCCCCCAGGCCTCCACCTCCCTCCATCCTACCTGATGGCACTGCTGAATCGAGTGGAGGTGGGCGCTTTGGGCCCCTGTTCACTGAGGTATCCATACTTCTCCAGGAATGCCTGGGGGAGAGAGGACCGTCAGCTTTTCCTGCCATGCAGCATTCTTTGCCCTCCCTCGGTCTCCAAGGGCCCACGGCACATACCTCTTGCCCAACCTCCCCTCTTGTCCCAAGAGGGTCCGTAAACGATAGGAGAAAGAATCCTGAGTTTAAAGTCCAAAGGACCTGGACTCAATTCCAGGCCACCACTGACGCTCGATGATCTCAGGCAAGTCACTCAATATTTCTGAACCTTAGCTCCATTATCTCTAAAACTGGGCCAGCAGTACCTACCCTGCGTATCTCATGGCACGGTTAGAAATCTAGCCAGGCCTGCTGCACAGCACAGCTGCAGGCTGTAAAGGCAGGCCCATGTAGGCTTAAATTTCAGCTAGCAAGATACTTCTTTTATTTTTTTATTTTTTATTTTTTTTTTGAGCCAGAGTCTCGCTCTGTTGCCCAGGCGAGTGCTGTGGCGTCAGCCTAGCTCACAGCAACCTCAAACTCCTGGGCTCAAGCAATCCTCCTGCCTCAGCCTCCCGAGTAGCTGGAACTACAGGTGCTTGCCACCAAGCCTGGCTACTTTTTCTATTTTTAGTAGAGATGGGGTCTCACTCTTGCTCAGGCTGGTCTCAAACTGCTGAGCTTAAGCTATCCTCCCATCTCGGCCTCCCCAGGGTGCTAGGATTATAGGCGTGAGCCACCGTGCCCAGCCTCTTTGTTGTATTTCTTAACTCAAAATTATTCCAATCATAGCTGCTACCTCAGGGAAAAGGCACAAGTCAGGAATGAAACTAGACACCTAGAGCCAGGATCAGCAAGCTTCGAAGTCTTTGCAAACACCCAGGCTCCTCTTCGTGGGTTTCACCTGCATGTGTCTTCAGCGACTTCTACATCCTCTTCTCAATAAAGTCACTTTCCATAAGGAACCCTCATTCTGGACAACAGAGCCCTTTCCAAATCCACTTTTATTGTTTTTCTGCATGAATTTATTAGTATTTCAGCACTATTGCTTTCTTTTTTCCCTTTGCCAATGCACACTATATTTGGATGCATAACGGATTAAAGGGGTTCTAATGGCTTAATCTGGAAAACTATTAACTGCTCAAAATAGTGTGGCATGGTGGAATAGCCACTTGGTTTGGGATTGAGAATCTGCTCCAACCAAGCCCTGACTCTGCTGGGTGGCTGGGGACCAATTACTTAACCTCTCTGAGCTTCCATTTCTTTGCCCACAATATGAGAATAAGATTAACTTCACAGGATTCTCAGGATTGTTAATAAATAAAGCAATGCACATCTAGCATAGTGCCTGGTACATAGAAAATGCTCAACAAATAGTCGATCTAGTTGATTTACCTTAGATGGAAAATTAACAAGGGACTTGTTAAACACAACCCATCTGTAAAATGGGAACTGCTTTGAATGAGGCAGTTAGATCTCTGTTCTCAATTTAGGTGCTTCTATCTCGGACTTGCCTCACCTCAGCCAGGTGCCTCCTCCCTTTCCCCTGATGAGGATGGACAGAGGGCTTTCTAAAGGTAGCCAGGGGATTAACGTCTCTTCAGAAGCAATTTTTCTGGGCGGTGGGCGAGTGACATGGGAGAGACGGGGGTCACAGGTCACCATGGCTGGCACTCCCTCCTGCCTCTTTCCACAAACCCGCCCAGCCCTTATCAGGGAGTTATCAGGGAGTTGGCTCAAGTTCTGGAACTATGAAGCCCTGCACAGAGCAGGAGGGCGGGGCAATCGACTGGCTGGCGGCGTCTCCTGTTTCCTGGCTGGCCTGCTCTGCCTGGTATCCTGGCAGGCAAGGCGAGTGGAGGGCAGCATGAGGGGTGGGAGCCTTTCTCAGGGGTCCCTCGGAGGGGAAGTCCTGGGCCTTTCTTCCTGACTCAGCTCCGGGACTCTGGAGTCTGCAAGGCGGGGTTGAATTCCTAGCAAGCAGAATGAGCACCAATGCCCAGAACGCCCAGAACACCAGCCAAGCAGAGGCACCAAAAGTATAAGAGAAAGAAAGAACTTGACATTTTATATTTCCATAAAAGCACTGCAGTATTATAATAGGAATCATCAGGATTTGTGGACTCCCTTATACTTATTTTATGCTTACTATGCGTACATTCAAATAGTGCTAAATTATGTACAGAAAGGGACCCCTTAATACTGTCAGTGCTGAGTGCTCTCAAGTTCTGTTCAGTGGAGGTGGGTCTACATCTCTGGGTGAGGAACTAGCAGGGTTGAGACTCCTTTTCTTCCTGGAGTTGTCCCTAACTCTCTTCTGTGAGTCCATTTGCCATGCGTCAGTTTCCCCCTGCAAAAGTACGAGAAATGCTCCACTCAATATGGAGAAAGAGCAGAGGTGTACGGTGAGGGTGGAGGGATGGCAGTGTGGCCAAAGGACCCCAGGAGAAGACGCAGGGCTGGGAAGCAGAGCTCTAGTTCTCACCCTAGCTGGGCCACTAACCTAGGAGTCATTTCCACTCTAGGCTTCCGTTTTCCTGGGGGCATGTCCAGTGTTCTCTGAGCTCCACCTGTGGTCATCCCTGTCCCACTTCACGGAAGCAGCCTGCTCTTCCCTGCCTTGAAGTTCAAGCACCAGCTTTTGTCTCCTCCCCGTTCTCCACCCATCCTCTCTCCTGGGGAGCCCAAGGCTTGAGCCAAGTGGAGAGGAAGCTGGAGGGCTGTGCCCCTTAGGTGATTCACCCCACTCTGGCCTAAAAGCTTGTGCCAACATGCCTCACCCACTTGGTTAAGGCTGGGGCCACCTTCCTGGGGAGTCACCTCTGAAAGTCCTTGGGAGTGGCTGTGGTGTCTGGGTAAAATGAAAGTGGTTCTCCTGGGACCCAGCCTGTCATGTGGATCACAGCCCCATGCAGGGGTTCTAGTCCTGCTTGGGTCCTGACTTGCCCTGGGAGGGTGTGGAGAGCCCAGCCCATTTGAGTGCCCGAGGGAAGGGGAAATTCTGGCCATTTCTGAGCAGAGCAAGACTAGTGACGCAGTGTACCAAAATGAATCTGAGACCTGAGTCAAGATTTTTGACTCACTGGACTGGCAGGGCAAGAACACTAAACCAACAGCCTTGAGTTTTATTCCTGGTGCTGCTGCCAACTTCATGTCCTCAGGCAAGACCGTGCTTCTCTGGGCCTCAGTTTCCTTTTCTGCTAAATGAGGAGATTGGATTAGAGCCCTAATATATATATCCCAGCTGTATTTATTATTCTAGCCCTGCTTCTGCAACTGACTAGCTGTGTGAACTACAACAAAGTTATTTAACCTCTCTGTGCCCCAAAGTATAAAATGGGGGAAAGAATCTTTACTGCTTTACTTTTCTCACAGGAGCATCATGAAAATCCAATAAGAAGATGCTTTGGCAAAGCTTTTTGACAGTCGTCCCATTTAACATGTTATTTTTACCTCTGTAGTCACAGAGCTTTATTGCTGGAATGAATGTTTGGTAGTTGAGTCCGGGACTCACCTTCCTAGACCTCCTCCACATCAAAGAATTTCAGCAGCAGAAAGAAATAAAACCAAGAATTTAAAAATTGCAAAATGGCAAAGTCTCGCAGAAACCATGTTGCTTTACCGGTGAAATAGTCCATCTCATATTATGCTGCATTATGATTTAAGTCTTTCTATGGTGACTCTGTGAGATTTGTGCTTATTCAAGTACATCTTTAGCATCATTATCCAAGACAAGATGCAAGACATGATAGCTGGCATTCTGCCTTGACATGTTCTATACATAAAAATATTTCCTGGTAATCAGGAGCACTATAAGCCCTTAACTACTGCAGGGCTTCTAAAGGTATTATACCTTCTTTGAACCTCATAATCACCTTGCAAGAACATAGATAGGACGGGTGTTGTTATTCCCGTTTTTAAAGATGAGGAAATTAAGTCTCAGGGGAGTTCAGTGTTTTGCCCAAGTGTCCCAGTATGTGACAGAACCGATACTTGAATCTGAATCCTCTGAAATCTGCCCCAGGATGTTTTATTGCACATTTCAGCAAGCACCTCAGAGGCTTTAAAACTGAAGGAGCAGGGGCCAAGCTGCCCTCTCTACTAAGAGAAAGGTAAAACTGGAGTGTTTCTAGCTAGGTTTCTCCTGTCTTCTCTGCAGGAAGGTCCAGGGGTAGAGCAGAGGGAGGAAGTTGCTCAAGACCCTGGACTCTGGTTTTCAGACAGAGGCCGGGTTCACATCTCCCATCACACCCTAAACAGATCATCTGACAAGCCACAGGTATTCAACAGGACTGAAGCATATTGCTTTGTAAAGACAAACATCTGCTTCCAGAAGGCTTTGCTTGCACCCCCTGGCTCCTGGGGGCTAGTGAAGGCCTCAGGATGGTGGAATCAGCTCAGCTCCTTTCCCTTATTTGGGGCAAAAGCTTCCCTTTCCTTCCTGTCTGACTCCCCTTCTCCTCTCCTTCTTTCCCTGTCCCTGGTCTTATATTCACAAAGTCCCGTCTGGGTGTAACTTAGATACCTCTCGCTCGAATTCCTGCTCCTTGTTTCATTTTCTCTCCTTACAGAAGGCAGAAGACATTAGCTGGCCAGTCTTCATCTGGACCCCATCCTGTACTCTTTTTCTAATGCCAAATAACCATACTGTGTGGATTCATGGGTCTTACTAGGCCCGTGGTGCTAAGTTTAGGGCACAAAATAATGCCCTGACCAAGGTTGGGCTTAGGGAGTTGTCTATCTGTCTCTCCCTGCTATCTAGGTTCATGCTTCCATGACCTAGGTCTTGCTAGATTTCTTCATTTTCAAACTGGCCTGACAAATGCTTTTCCACCAACTTGTGGTCCTCTGGGACCCTTGAGATCCTCTTCTGCACTTCTGTTCACTCTGTGCTCATGAGTCACTAAGCTGAGCTCTTGGGAATGGCTTCTACACCCAGACTTCTTGGTTTATGACTCACGAAAAGTCAAATGAATGGCTCTGGGGTATGAGAAACAGATACTGCATCTGCGGGTGGATACTCCACAGAAGCTCCAATGTCTCCCTGGAGAAACAGAC